AATACCAAACGGCTAGGCGAAAGATAAAATTACAACCTGGATAACGGTAGCCAGAAAAGTTGACGAAACCCTTTGTGAACTCGTTGCGAAATCACTATAAAAAGCGAAGTCCTGTCTATATAGCTGCGATTTGTTCTATATTTGTTCTTGTTATATGGCTGCGAGATATGGTCAATGAGAGTGGAAGATATTAAGCTATCAGTCTTTGACCACTGATTTCAGTCCGTCGGGCCGATAAAATCGAATATGATTGTATCCACCTTCGTTCAAATACCACTTGCATAAATAATGTTATCACAGAGCACCGCCTTCGATGATTAAGGTATCTCCGTCGTCCACAGAGTTAACGCATATTTCGTTACTTGCTAAACCCTGTGATGGTTGGCATCAAAAGAGATGAAGAAGAACCTGGACTGATACGTCAAGAAAGATTTTGAACATATTGGTGGACAAGCGATAAATGGACTTTGATAATGGAAAAAGGAGTGGCGTCAGCGATGGCATCAGATCGCGAAGCTTGTAGATTCGTTATAGCCAGCAAGCCAGCCTAATCAGCAATGGGAAGTGCTATTTCCTCCATACCGCATTTTCCTAAATATATCCGAAAAGTGTCCATTTCTGAATAGAAAATGCCAATCCAATAATAATAAAAATATTGCCAAAAATTTTAATTGCTTTATGTTTATCGTGTCTAATGATTGAAATAATTCGCAACAAAATTTGCGTAAATATTTTTTTTGTTGTAATCCACTTGCGCCACCATTTATAACAGCTGTTCAAATTAAGTCTTTGTTGATAGTCAATAAAATACTTTTTCGGCGACCAACTACTTGCTTATGTTATCAAATCACAAAAGCTGTAATTTTCTCTGCTACAATTATTTCATTTTTCATTTCAAAAGTTTCCAAATATTTCCTCATTTAGCTATTGGCACTTGTAGCATATATTTTTATGAATTTTTTAACTGCGTTGATATTTCCTCGACTTTAAGTAAATTACACTTCTCTAATGTGCTAAACGACAAACAATCGGAATTTGCATTTCAATCTTCATATATATCATTAACATTCAAGTTTCGTAGGGAAAGAACAAAAGAAACTGAAATGATTTTGGATCTGATACGTGCTCATATTAAATAAATGTTCAACAAATGCGAAAACAACGATAAAAAAGGGTATAAATTAATGCTTTCAGGAAAATTCATCCTAAAAAGTCCAAGTGTGTTTAAAGATCAAGTGAAGAGCCGAAAAAAACATTAAAACGGTACATAAGATACTATAAAGCTTACTATAAAACTGAAATAACTCACTTTTCTTCAAAAGGCTTAATAATGAAATGATATGGATATAAATGAAAGAAGTAAAGAATTATAATACAATAAAACATAAAAAATGAAAATATAAAATTAGAAGCTTAGATCATAACGTGAAAAAAGATAAATAAAACGAATCTAGAGTGGAAACTACTGCAGGCTTACTTTATATAAATTTTTAGATGGCAAATTTATACACGACGATCACCACAGAAAAACCATAATTTCTAAAGAATCAAAAATAATAATAAAGAATAAAAAATAAAGAATCAAAAATTTAGCATTAAAATACTCAAAATAACGATGAACATGAAATGTAATGTTTTCAAAAAATTATTCACAACTCGTCTTCTCAAAAGCAAGTGCATGCTTTTTTCCAACAAAATTTGAAAATATAATAAATGGAAGAAATTGAAGTACTAAAATGAAAAAAGATGAAAATAATTCATCGAAATATGTTAGATAAAAAAAAAAATTTTTCTCTCGAATTTTCCTTTAGTGCATTACTTGAATAAATTGCATATAACCAAAAAAACTAAAAAGATTCAATTCAGATCTATCATTAAAAGTGAAAACAGTGACTGCATCGCCATTTCGCACACTTAAGTGATAAAGGCCACTTACTACAAATAGATTCTATTAAATTGTAAATTAACTGCATGAAATACTTCGATATTTACGGATTTACTTTTACTTCTGGAGATTTTCTTTTCTCGATTTCCAATAATAATCTGAGTTGAATTACTAACTAATTAATATTTTTTGAAGCATCTTTCCTTTTCAGCTTTTTTTAACTGAATAATTTTCCAGCTGAAATTTTTATACAATACGATCTGAATCCGAATATAAATTCACATCAAATTCGACGGTATTTTTGATTTTGGCATCAGTAATTATATTCGATCTGTTTATTGCTTCTTCGAGGTCAACTTCTTTAGCGACCTGAGATAAATTAAACGAGGAGTTCTCTCTATGCGGAGTTACTTTAATACCAACTGCTTTTAGCACTTCAGTCAGTTTACGGGAATAATCCAAATGCCCATTAATCTGAAATAAAACGAACAAACCCTTCGAATCAAGAAAAAACTTGGAAAAAACTTGTCTAATAATTCAGAACAAATTGACAAATCGACAAAAAACTTTTTTCTAAACCGAAAATATTGCGAGAAAAATGATAAGTAATTTCCAAAAATTAAGCTATATTTAAGGTTGATTATTGGGAAAAGTAAAGAAATTATTTTTAAAAACCTGTAAATATTAATGAAAATATAAGATTCAATAAAATGATTTGCGACAAAAAATAACTTACTAAGTGCGATAAATTAAAATTGACAATCTTGCGATTCTTTTGGCTATCAATGGGTCCGATTCCAGCAATAGCGAATTGTATATTCATTGTCCGGTATAAAAACCTGTTGCAAAATCGCAAAAACTAAGAAAAATGAACAGGAAAACAGGCTTCATTGGCCAAACACTGGTTTAAACCTAACTTTTAAAAAAAAAATCCAGATATGAGAAAGAATAAATTTTTTTGACGAACCTGAGAAGCCAATCAGATGTGGAATATCCGTTTATGATCCGACCCCCAACAACACGGCACATTTGATGCCATTGTCTAGAAGAAGCTGAAACTGGAGCTCCAAGAAGCACAACATCTTCAATAATGCCTAAATATAAATCGATATAATAATATATTGTAATTTGTGATCGCAAATAAATAAGAAAAAACTATAAATAAGAAAAAACTATAAAGAAAAAACTAAAAACTATATGGTTTTCCAAAAAATACCTGCATAATCAGCCCTTTGGCTCATTGTAAGAAGACAATGGTAAATTACGCGAGCACCGAGAGAGAAACCTATTAAAGTGATTGGATATTTCCCGTGAGCACGTCGAAGTAGTATTTCAGCTAGGAAATCTCCGACCTAAATCACTTCTGTACAAAAGTATTATAAAAATGCAACAAAGTTACCTCAGCAGCCCGACTAACACAAACATTTCATGGATTATCTAGGACATTTGCTGCTGAAAGAACTGCAATCGGCCAAGTAATTGCTGACATTAGACCTGAAATGAGTCCATAGATCAATAATAAAATGATAATTTACGAAGCCTATAAAAAAATTTTAATATAAAATTTTAATTTTTAATTCTTAATTTTTTGGATTGAAGCATCAAACTGAATTATAATCATTCTATCACTGAACAGAATAAACAAGAGATATATTAAAATACAAAATAACAACCAGCTAACGCAGTTTCCATAAGAGTTTGCTGTATGGCGACGGAAACAGCAAATGACATTAAATATTCAATGGCTTTTCCAAGTTCTATGAGATATTTGCTTTCATAGCGCAAAGTGAATTGCTCACGAGACATCCATAAATGGCGCCACTGTTTTCGAAAAGCATTCTTGCTATCCTGAATTATTTATACGTTAATAAAATAAAGAAACCACATAAAAATTTATTGAGTTTATAAAAATTTATGAAGCAAAAAAAAACTGGATTCAATTTTCAAAGTATGAATAAAATTAATATACTGAAAGATGAGTAAAAATGCTGATATACATCTTCTATCCATCCACTGACTGTCAAAACGCAATGGAGGCTGCTACCTTCTGTCAAAGATTCGATGACAAATTCATCAATAGCTCCAACACGCTTGTTCATTTTATAACCTTAAAATGATATTTTTATCATTCAAAAATCAGAAATAAACATATATATTGTTTATATTATTCATAAGAATAAATATTTTCTTCTGACAGCAAAATTCACCAGCTAATCCCGCACCAGTTGCACCAAAAATAGATGCAAGCACAGCAATTCCGACATTAGTTGCAATTCCTGAAGCAGCACCCGCGCCTATAATTACACCGGCACCAGTAGCAAAACTCAGAAACTCAGACCTTCTTTATTTGACCGTAAAGGCCTGTAAACTTATTGGAAATGCTATTTAATAATCATGATTGGTAGTATTGGCAAATATTCCTTCGATTTTAATAATTATCACTATTATTATTATTTAACACTTTATTATATTTTTATTAATATTATTGCAATAATAATAATAAAATGCACTATTGAAATCCATAAATTATGTGAGGAATTAGCCGCGCTTCCGTTATTGGAAATCACCGGAAATACCGGAAATATAAATAATAGTTGAATGTTATATAATTGTAATAGAGAACAAATTATGCATAAACAAACTGGCTTATTTCTTTTAAAAGCATTCGGTCTTCAGTATGAACAGCTTTTGGTGTTAAGTTTGATGTCACTTGTTTTTTCAGCTTTTT